AAAACCCCCCCCCCCCCCCCCCCCCGCTGGGATCCCACGAACAACTCACGAACAAACGAAAACGCCTTGTCGTGAACGGTGAAAACGCAGTCGACCTGGAAGGGACTCAAGACGTGGCCATCGTGGGCACGATCCCTCCGGGTCTCCCTGCTCCCAAGTTCCCTAGGCTAGACAAGCTCACCACCTTTGCCCAGGTGGAGGACATGGCGGGCGTGGCCCTGGTGGCAGCGCTGGTTTCATTCATCATCACGCACTCCATCGCCAAGAGCCTTGCGGGGGCACAGGAGGTGGGTGTGACGAGGGGGGGTTGGTGTGGGTTTCGGCCTATCTCTCTGGGAGATTTGTTTCGAAAGGGGTTGGGATTTTCTAAGTTCGAGAGGACGAAGCAGCCAAGACTCTGTCTGTCGAGGACGACTCATTCCTTCTTTTTCTTTTCTTAACTCCATTCGGAGTACACAATCAAGGAAACGTTTTGGAGAATATCTAGGAGAAGCGAACAAAGACAACAAGAACACAAACAGGAATAGCCTGCCTCGCTGTTGTTAGGCTCCTCTAGAGTCCCAACCAAATATTGTACAACCTTTGAAAAACCGATCCAAGAACTCGCGGTTGTTGTGCACTGTGCCCCCCTCAGATCAAGGCGACGCCGCAGCTGCTCGCCTTTGGAGTTGCCAATCTCGCCGGGTCCATCTTCTCCGCCCTGCCTGGTTCGGCGTCTCTCAGTCGAGGTGCGACTTTACAGTCGAAAAAAGAGCTTCTACAACGGAAAAGAGATGGCTTGCCACGCCCTCCTACGCCGTACGTTTCTCTTCACTGGGTGTTGCAAGCACTTGTCATATTTCTCGAGTTGTTTAGTTCATTCGGTTTTCGGATAAAAATACGATGAGTACCCCCCCGCAGCTCCCCGGACCCGCACCCCCCCGCCGGCAAAGAAAACGGACAACAGGCAACACGACAGGACCGCGAGAAAGCGGCCGGAAACGGCAACAACACGAGCAGGATCACGGCAGGAGCGGCGGCGGCGACAGAAGCAGCGGAGAACACGGAAGCAGAGACCAAGCCGA